AAATGGGTTCGAATTGGGCCATTTAAGATGGGTTTAAGGTGTAAATGGGTTTTGGGTTGAACTTTAATGCATTTCACCCTTCAACTTTTCAGTTCTTCAATTGAGTCATTTCCTCATCTTCTTTTCCAATCTTCTTCGTAAAATTTCCTTTTTGCCCTCCCGTTTTTTTCTTTGAATGAACCTAACAAGTAAAATAAAGATAAAACATAATAGTTAAGATAAAAATAAAATAAAATTCTACTAAAATTTGAGTTATGACAATTAGTAAGTTAGTATCTATTTGAGTACCGATCAATGAGTTGACCTGATGATTATATGTTGCGCTCTACCTTACTTTTCACATAAAGAAATGTGACCACTTGGACCACATCCGGGAATGCCCTAAAATCATCTTCTTATAAGAAAATACATTACATGCAAAGTTAATGATACAGAAATTGATATGTGAAGCGAGTTCCAAGCTCCTAAAAAATAAAAATTACCAATTAGTCCCTAAACTTGTTAAGTTTGAACATAGTTTCCCTCATACTATAACTTTATAATTTTAAGTTCCTGAACTGCACAGATCTAAGACTTTAACACCAATTTAATGGTAAAAACTCACATAAGACTTTAACACCAATTTAATGGTAAAAAGTCACATATTGTCACGTGCTTGTTTTCCTTGTCACCTCTACACATTCAAATTTATTCCATGCAAGCTTGCCACGTCTTTTTAAATGCTTATTTAATGCCAAAATTACCTTTTTGTCTTTAATTTGTTATCAAATTTTTATATCCCACCACTCTTCCCCTCTCCAAATAAAAACTTCAACATATCTTGCCTTTTTGGAGCATTTAATTCATAAAAATCACTTCCAAACCCAAAAAATTTAACAACATTTAGTTCTAAGTCATTCCATTTCAAGAAAATTCATACTAGTGTCTATCAACTTCCAAACAAAAAATTAAACAAAAAATAAAAAATAACAAAAATACAAAAACCCAAATTTGGTTTCCAGATCTTGGACCCCCTTCTTCTTTTTCCTTCTTCACCTCCTTCCTTTCTATTCTTTTTTTCCCTATCCTTTCAACAACAACCTATTTCCCCAAAAATCCTCTAGTGGCCTCGCACGTGTGAAATCTGGATACGGGCATGCCATTTACTTTGCTGAAAATAAGAAAGGAGGACTTTCCCAATGACCCTCTCCTTCCTCATGGTTGACCTCCTTGCAGATGGTGAGAAGAACATTGGATTAAAACTGAAATTTGTGCCTACAAACAAACAATTTGCAAGTGAGAGGGATACTTTCCTGTAGAATGGGTTATGAAATCTATCTTGGACAACTCTAAGGACTTAAACACTACCATGACTTAAAATTAACAAATCCTAATTGAACTAAATAACTTGCAATTTAAAATAAATTTACGAGAATAAAACATGCTCAAATTAAATTAAACATGTTCATTGTTAAATTAAAATGCTATCTACTAGCAATTTGAAAATTAAAATGCTGTAGAATTAAAGATTTTACCCTAATTAACACTAAAATTAACGTGAACAGTAATTAAACTAATATGCTTAAAGTTGAAAAGAAGTGTGAACACCACATAAGTAATCATTGAATAAAATACTACTTATCATAAACGTTAAATTAATTGCAAATAGAAAGAGAACAGTACCTTACATAAACTTAAAAGATTGAAGTTTATTGCATGAAAGGAAATTGTTGAACTGAGTACATACACTAATTTGCCTAATGGAATGATGAAAAACAACCTAAATCTACTGGAATTTGTGCTGAAATCCGAAATCTAGAAGCATTTTGCAAAGAAAATAAAAGTCTAAATATTTGTAGATGTTTGAGTAGGATTGACCGTGTGTTGACGACCACTTAAGATTTTTTTTTATATAATGAAAAATTAAGGGTGAAAATACAAAAGAAAAAAAAAGGAGTCGCCACTTGTCGAAATTATAAAGTGGAACAAGTCACCTAAAACGGGTCCACGCAGAGATCAAGGTTCGGGGGTTCGGTTAAGAGTGAGGAAGGGCATACGCGCACCTCACAATCCTCCGTTTAAACACGGTTGCATACTTTAACATTGGGGTTTTTAATTCAACTTATTTATTATCTTTATGTTTAAGTCTTAATAGGGAAACTTAAAAAAAAAATAAACCAAATTGTAACATTTTTTTTAATTTTTGGACTAAAATGGACAAAATAAAAGACATGTATGCACAATAAGCACAAATAAGAATTAAATGGACTGATTTGATTAAGATAAAAATAAAGGACTGATTTGAAAAGGTTTAAAACTTTTAGACTAAACTGCTTAAACGTGAAAGTTGAAATAAAATAGATAACTTTTGATTTTTTTTTTTTTACTTTTTAACCTTTTTAGTTTTTTTTTTATGACAGACGAAACTAGATCGGGTTGGGTTAACTTGACCCAAAAACACGAAACAATTCACCAACATAAAAACAGATAAAAAGAAGATCAAATATGCAACCAAAGCGGGAAAACTAAGATTAATGTAATTTCCAGTAACAGCAAACACATTTATCAGAAAATAAACTGAACAATTTTTCTTGATTTTTTTCATTCATTTTCCAAGGAAACACATACAAACTTAAACACAGTTCTAAACAAAATCAACAGAAAATAACAGAAACACCCACGGCGGAATTTTTAGGAG